ACTCCATTCTCGACGTAACTCTTGATTTTAGTCTTGAGTTCTTTTAATGAACTCTTTTTGCCTAACATTGAGCTATAAATCATCACTTTATCCGATAATTCGATACTATTGTCGATTATCTTCGACACGAACTCCACTTCACCGCCGCTGACAACCGACTCGATTGGTTTCGATGTGTTCGCCGTCGACTTGTGCCGACGAAAGGCTCGCTTTTGATCCACTTTCGACGCAAAGACATGACTTTCGGTGGACTCCAACTCGAAATCCATTTGGGCATCACTTTCGGTGTTCTTCACGACACACTCCTCATCGTAATTGTGGGCAAAAAACGGCGGATTAGTCATCAAGAAGTGGATCCGTTGCCCATGAATGGCAGACAACTGTTGAATAATAGGCACAAAACTTTGATCTTCAGTGGATTCAACCACTAAAAATCAATTCAATAGATAATTAAAATTATAACACAAACTAATGGTTAGTTCTTAAGCCAAACCCTTGATCCGTTGCTGCAAATGATTTTTGTCGACATTATGAACGGCTGACTGAATGGTAATCGGGTCGACATCGATGGCCACAAAACTCCAGTTCTTATTGAGAGCGCAACCGATGAGTGGAAAGACAGCGCAACAACCGGTGCCGATGTCTAAGCCGGTGATCAGCTCCTGATGAACACCATTACCATTAGCGACGAGGAATTGTCTCAACTTTGAGACCAAGTCCTCGACAAACAGTATGTAATTAAGTCGTTGCGGAACCGTTGGTATGAGTCTGTCGGACGGTATATCGACCTCGAGATCAAAGTCCTTCTTGAGTAACGTCTTCGTCAGTTCCCGTAAAGCGTGGGAATCGTTGTAATCAAAGACCACTTTCCCTCTTAAGTCGCGTTTGACATAAGCGGCAAACGATGGGTACGTTTTGGCCATAACCTCGAAGTCCGGCCTCTGGCGGTATATATTCCTCGAGTGCATCGACGCGTTCAACGACATGATTGTCACCGCAAGTGATCCAAAGAGTTGTCACAAAACTTTAATTGCAGTCAAAGTAATCGCAAAACGCGTGAAACTATTGGCGAAAAAGCAATGATTTGTTTTGAATTTCGTTTGGCTTTTCACCACTGAATGCAATGTTTGTGTCGAGAAATACATGAATTATGTCCACAAATAGCACTTTTTTCCACAGAATATTCTCCAAGTTTTTGGTGTCCATTGAATTCTTGCACACATTTAAAGCAATATATAAATCATCATTTATTATCAATTAGTTTAACACATCATATGATTATCAAAATTCGTGGCAAACAATTGAAATACACTTTACATGAAGACATGAATCAATTAAATACTAGTCTCTCGACACAAATCGCATGAATATTTACATCAAATTTTAATCTCAAACTACTTATAACTTATATAAATGAGTGGACAGTGAGGTCATCACCTCTTGTGTCCATCCGTTATCTGACGGCCGTTTCGCACAACATATTCACGACCCGATCGACCATCGAGTCCCTGTTCTTGTAGTCGATATGGATCTCAGTGTCTGTACCGCACAGACGGCGCACCTCATCGGCCACAGCGACACCTCTTCGGACGGGAACTGTCGCCAGAATACGATATGACTTCGACATCACCTCCGAGTCGAACAACCGCTTCACGCCATCGCAGAACTGATCCGAAAAGGCCTCCATTTTGCCGATTTCGTCGATAATTATCACCAGTTCTTTGCGCGACTCGTCTAACCTCTGGATCTCTTCCGGAGATACAGTCATCGCCGGTATGGCTATCGACTCGAACGCCGCCAAATCGACGCTATATTTGCCAACTTTGGGACCAACTGTGCGGTGATTGTCGACCACTCGCGCCAATTGTCTTCTGTTGGATGGGTTGGCGATGTCGATGACGTCGAAACCAATGCGTTGGCCATTGGCTGCACCGGTGAGGAGACAATGGCATCCATTAGTACAGTAGTCAAGACATGCGAGATAAGAGGTGGTGTTCAATGGGATCAACTCATACCAGATCTGACTTCTTGAGTGTAGAAACCTTTGCAGACAAACCGATGGCTGTGTTTGTCTTGAATGAGTTGTGCGACACGTGTTGTTAGAGTAGTCTTTCCACTGCCCGGCGGACCAGTGATCAGTATTTTAGG